ATAGGAGTGGGGGTGGTATAGATACTCTTGGTACATTTCCATGCACTCTCACCTGAGTCCATCTCTTCCAGAAGGACAGTCCTCCATTGGGGATCCTCGCCTCCTTGTTCAAGACGGGACACATCGGAGTTGTTCCGGGCTCAAACACGTCGACTGTGTGAAAGCAGGTAGCGTGGTCGATGCACTGCCCTCTACCGTGCGTAGTGCACAGCACACTATCGCTCATCTTGCCACAACCGCATGCCACCGTCTCCTGCACAGCACAACAACCACAACAACAGACAAGGATCATAAACACAACACGTGTGATGATGGGTAATGTCGGTGGCTACCATGACCAGGTGGACAACAACTGTACATGTATGGCGGGACAAGAAATAATCATCGAATGGAATTGTTCAATACTAGAGAAGAGCAAGTGCTAAGGAAGACCGTCCAGCCATTCACCAGCCATTCACCAGCCATCCACCAGCCATCCACCAGCCATTCACCAGCCATTCACCAGCCATTCACCAGCCATTCACCAGCCATTCACCAGCCATTCACCACCCGTTCACCGTATTTAGTGGACGGCACAAGAAAAGCATGCTCCACAAGGGAGAATATGGAGTTGAGTAAAGATATGACACGGCATCGTGACTCACCTCAATCAGAAGTTTCTGACTGGTAAGTGCCTGCATGTCAGACAACCATTGCTTCACCTGATGTAGCGCTGCCTCACCCTCACCACTGCCAAAGACATGCTGCTCGTTGACCGACTCCATTCTGAGAGAGATGCCGCACTTCCAGTAGGACACTTGCAGCCACTCTCCGTTGCTGACATTCCACGGTAGTCGCATGGTAAACTTGGACAGGGCAGTCTTCCTCCAGGCGCTGGTTTTCGTGCCGCTCTCGACGAGGAGCTGGTTGTGGCGAGTGATGCATTTCGTGCCGATTGTGAGGAACATGTCATGTGGAAAGTGGTCGTTCTCGTCGCAAGCCAGAAGAATGGCCTCGGATGTGGAGCCGCCTTCCAGCTCAGGGATAGACTCATTTTCGGCCGCAGCTGGCATGAGAAAGACTTTCTTCTTTCCGTTCCTGGCCGTGGTGACTTCGCCCACGTCACACAAGATACACAGTGTCTCCATTAGCTGCAAGAAGGTGTGGCGATGCTCCTCATTCAACATCAGCCGGTAGAACTCGGGACTGTGCTCTTGCCATAGACGCAGGGCCAGTTCAACCGTGATGTAGCCTTGTCGGTAGAGATCAATGTCATCGCGTGATGGTGGATCCTTCACGAAATCTTCTCGCTTCATTCCAGGCTGAATGAGCGAGCCAGCCAGCTTCATCACGGATGGTACGTTGATGATCACTTTATCCCGCAGTGCTACGGACTGCGGAAAGAAGAGAACGGTGCCAAGGTTGTGGTGAAAGCCCAGCATAGGTTTGAGCTCATCCACTCGGTGCGCAATGCCAAGGCGGCGGGCTAGACGAAGCATATCATCGAGCGAGATCCAGGGACTGGAGAGACGAGCATCATTAGAGAGCTCCAGAAGTGCGAGTGTTTCCAGAACACGTGCAAGTGGGAATGTCTCCTGGTTGGCACTCTCCTCGATGAGCTTACAGCGTAGGCTTCTGATTCCAGAGTTTTCCGGCCAGAAGAAGCTGCCGGAATACGTGTTGTCGACAAACACGATATCGTCAGACTTCAGCAATTGGCAGTACGGTTTTCCTTCAAGACTCTTCATGATGGTGTCTCGTTCTGCATCCAGGGTCGCTCCACTGAACCAGCCACGCTGGTCGATATGCGTGCCAACGAGGAACACGCGCACGTTTCTGCTACTCGGCATGTTGTGTATTGTGGCCAGGTAGTCGTGGATATACGTCAGGATTGGCTGTCTCGGCACAGCTGCAGTGCAAGGCCGAGGTTTGCCCTCGTGTCGAACCTGCATAGCACAGTAACAGCATAGACATTACCACGTACAGGGGACACACATGAACAGTGAGCACAAGGATAAGTACCGTAATGCACGTTCCCCCCCTGCACTCCACCAGACACCTTTGGAAGTGAAGCACTCCAGGAGACAGATACCCTGAAGCTGCTGGGAGTCATGCTCGATCCTACTCTCTCCTACAGAGCGCACACTCGCAGTGTTGCACTGCGTGCCTCCCAAAGGCTGGGTTTTCTACAAAAGGCAGCACCCATCCTGGACGACCATGGTTGAGTGGCAGTCTACAAGAGATTCGTGCGACCCCTACTTGAATATGCCCCACTGGCCTGGTCGAGCGCAGCCGCAACTAACATGGCCCAGCTGGATAAGGTTCAGCAACGTGCCCTGCATTTCCTGGGACTTGGAACCATACTTCTAAGTATTCAGCTTCGCCGGATGGTGGCAGCCCTGTCATACTTGTACAAGCTGCACTACATTCCAGGGCCTCCCCAGGTAAAGGCCATGCTGCCACCAACCAAGCTCCCTGCCGTAGCCAGCATGTGCACACGGCAAAAACGCTAGACGTACCATGGCTTCCAGCTGAAGTGGACACCCCCTCGCACAGCCCCTGACTACCTCCTGCGATCCTTCCCCTTCTTCGCCATCACACCCTGGAACAACCTGCCTGCGGACCTCCTGCTTCACAAACCTCATTCAAGAGGCCTCCAAACCTTCAAGGTCAACGTATGTAAGGATCTAATCCGAAAGAGATGGCTGTGGTCCACACAGTACCTGTGACGATGATATTGAGACCCATTTAGTATAATTTTACCTTTCTACTAGTACTTTGCTTGTTATCATTATTGTTTTCTTTTTTCTTTTTCCCTTCCAGTTTAGTTATTACACATATTTATATTATTTGGTGCAATACTAGCGCCCCTTTCTCGAACCAAATTATTATTTTTGCTACTTGACCATGTAACCCCCCTATTTTTTCGATGCCAGGTTGCAACGCTAACGCCGAGACCCCTGGTCGGTCTAGTTGCTCCCTGTACATCGGCACGTCGTCCCTGCATCCCCTGTGTCTTGTCTTGTGTTTGTCTCCACATGTCTCTTTGTAGGGCTGTGTTCCCAATCAAAATAATAAAAAAATTCCGGGGTGTACCACACATTAAAATGCATAAAGACTCGAAGACTGACCCAGCGGCTCAGACTCCGAGTGCTGGATGTAAATCGACCAGCGGACAAGCACTGCATGCATGTAATACATGTATGGCGTCATCCGACTGCTTTCCATAATTATACTGAAATCCATCATTGTACTACTGCGAAGTTTCTACACTTACATGTTGTCAGTTCTGAGTGAAGGGCAAACTAGGTAACTTTTGTAGAACTTCAGTCACGCTTCTCAACTTTTTTTAAGTCAGGTTGCCAAAAGTCCGACTTGGGACTTTTACATTGAATGTCAAACAAAAAATCAATGCAATGTTTGGACTCGAAAGGGGGGTGCGGTTAACACCCTAGAAAATACGTGTGCCAACTTGTCCTTCTTTCAAAGAATGATATGTGAGAGAGAGAGAGAGAGAGAGAGAGAGATGTGGGGTGAGGGGAAGGGGCACCAATAGTAGGTCAGCCTTTTTGAAACATAACATTATCCATCCGACAATCTTTAACAACATATAGCTCGACTTTGTGCGTAGACAGAATGGTTCGTGGTCAATACCAGAGTATCTTATCTTCAATTTAGCAAGTATTCAATGTGTGCTGACTCTTCTCCCCTTCATGTATATGCTATAGGATGGCGGAGGTCAAACTTTATTGCAATTGTCTAAACCGAAGCACTTGTTTGCATTTAACAGCCTTTTGTACGGTCTGAATGTCACTGGAAGCCATTCATCTTCGGATCTTCCCAAGTTCTACATCGTACGGCTGAGATACCGAATTCAAATAAATGAATACAATGCAATACAATGCAACATCTATTGGGTGATTGCTGCATGCTGGTAATGCCGTACTGCCACAGGTATTTCACACTGCACAAAGAAGGCGTTGGACAACCTAGACCAAAACAAGCCCGCTGTCGAACGGTTTCTCAACAGCCATCAACACTTACAGTGCTCTGCGGAGTTTCTGCTTCCACGGACTGGCTTGCGTTGAAGACAATCGCGTATGCCGTGCGGTCTGCGCCGAAGCCGATGTGCTGAAGTAGCCGATACGAGTCCTGGCCTGCCGTGTCCCAGATGCGGATGATTTGGAACGGTCTCTCGGCAACTCTCGCCCTGACACCTTTGATGAAGGCAATGGACATCACTCGGTTTGAGATATCACTAATCACATTTTGCGGTAACTCATTCTTGCTTCCTGCCAAGTCAGAGCATGGGCCGGTTAATCCAGTGATATCACCTGTCACTGAAGAACGCTCTGGCCAAACCTTGCTTGCAGTGGAGTTCGGAAAAGCATAGCTGGCAGAAGCAGAGCAAAAGGTGCGCAGGAAGGCCAGGAAGGTGTTTGGATGAATCATGGTACGCTTGATCACAGAGGCGATCCTCCTTCTTAGCATTTCCTCTCCATCTTTGCTGGCTGCCCGCTCCAGCTGACCACCGTCAATGATGAACATGCTTTCGTCCACCCCGACCGTGCTGCTGTCCATCTTCCCATGCAGGATTTTCTCCCGGCAGAGAGAGCGTACCAGGCTAGTCTTGCCTGAACCGGTTTCACCAAGGAGAATCATGCGTATAAACGGCACTCCAATCTCCAGTTGGAGTCCGATTGTGAACATGTGCTCAAGAACTGGGCACAAAGAAAACAAAGAGGTCACGGTTTCAAATTTTCAAACCTTTCATTTGCCAGCAATTGCAGTGACTGCTAAAAATAATGGTTGGAGAGGATAAGCCAGAGTTAACTCACAATCTAAAAATCCTTGTCAAGAAGCCGTGGGATATATGTAGATTATTACAGAGTTTCACAGGCTTTCATAGGGGCTATGCTTGTATACTAGACAAGTTTGTATGCAAACACGCCGTCCCATACATTACCGTGCCCAATCACCGCAGAGGGTTTTCTGGGTCGCACCTGCACCAATCTAGCGACAACTGTCATTGCTGACCTCACTGGATATAGCTTACGTACTCGAACGCCATCAGATCTTCGAGTTTGGCGAAAGAGCGCAGGACAGAAAAGAATGGCGGGCCTGAAGAGTGCAAGCTACTCTAGTAGGCCACCGTATTCGCTTGCCGTAGTTACTATAAAGTATGTATTTACATGGCACACAATAACTTCTTGCCCCTCTCAATATCCACCCTCTCCGTCCGTCCGTCCGTCTGTTCGTCCGTCTGTCTGCTTGTCTGCCTGTCTCTCTTTTTCTACTGGTGCAATAACCACTTTCAAACCGCAAAAAATAACAACACCGAATGAAAATGAATCCGCGACTATCATTATTGCCCAATTCCAAAGCACTCTACAAATCACAAATCTCCGGGTTATGATCTCACAAATTCTCATGGCGTTGTCTTCCTGGCCTATTTGCAGTCTTATTATTGTCCTGAATTGGCACAAGTGAAGTTTGCAAATCCGCTTAAATTGCGAGGATGCTACCTATCGTATAAGGCCATCCAGAACTACCGTATTAGCCGGAGTATAGTGCGCACTTTAGATGTGCCATTTCAGGTCCCAAGTCGCTGGTGCACACTATGCTCCGCATATAACAATTAGTATGAAAACCCCTTTACTTTGAAAAGAAGTGCAACGCATCAAACTGTTGTGAAGTTTGTCACCTCTCACCGTGCGCAAGCAAAACGTGGGCATTTCAAGTGTCTACCCCCAGCTACACTACAAATGCATGGTGAGTACGAGACCCCATCGGTAGCACGTGCATTACACAAATGTACACACCAATATTTCTTGACCGCAGTCAACAGAACAAGCTGAATCGACATGGGAACTTTATTCGTGCAATATCAACACGTGAAACTAAGTGCAATAACAACGATGAAAGCAAGAAGGAACGGTGGAGAGAACAATAATTATGGATTCTAACAAACATGTTCGAATAATTTTCATATCCATCAAAATCCATCACGAAGGTTTTGTTAACGGAGGAAGTTTTTGTGGACCCTGGCTAGCGCCAGACGTTATTGCAATATCGCCCTGCATGCATTCCCCCGATACACTTCGCATACATATATGCCAGGCCTCTACAGTCTCTCATTTCTTGGCGCTGACCGATTTAATGCTATGAAGAGTACATAACCAGGTTATTATACTTTTGATGCTATACATAATGCTACCATGCATACTCATTCTGTTGATGGTACGGTACGGGACAGATACGGGATAGCACCAGGCGTGACACAAACAAACAAACAAACACCAAACGAGAGAGCTTGGAAGCTCAGGGCCCTGCGCTATGCTTTGTTGCCTAGCTCATCGCGCATGTTGTTAGAACTGATGGAAATGCTTTTTCCTTTGATTAGCTACATCATTGTATTGCAAAAACGCTTCAATGAGATACTGAAGTAACGTCTTCTGCATAGCTATATGTATGGGACCGGGGCTGACTCTGCCGATCACGGGCGTTCCGGAGTCGACGAGATGTCTGTTCTGACGTTTCCTGGGACCGGCGCTGACTCTGCCGATCACGGGCGTATATCTTCTTCTTATTATTATACTGAGGGCAACTAACATCCATTCTGATTGCATTTACTCGTCTCCCTACTTCGTATTTCTTTCCAGAAAATCTCTCCATACAGCAGGGAGTCGTTTACATAATATGACTCCCTGCTATACATCTACATGACTGTATAAACGTTATAATTATTATGCTATCCGCCTACATGCGATTCACGGGCTGGTCGACAGGCGGCCCAGCCAGCCTGCTAGTGGGATCTCGGCCTCGCACACAAATCCACACAAAATGTTACTGCACTGAATGCATTCCCCCGATACACTTCGCCTGTATACTCATTCTCTTGATGGTACCGTACTCTTGATGGTACGGGACAGGTACGGGATAGCGCCAGGCATGTCGATGGCACAAACAAACATATATATTGTGGCCAGCTGTCTTTGCTGGTACGGTACAGTACGGGACAGATACGGGATAGCGCCAGGCGTGACACAAACAAACAAACAAACAAACACCAAACGAGAGAGCTTGGAAGCTCAGGGCCCTACGCTATGCCTTTTTGCCTTGATGACCCTGACAAAAAAGCATACGGAAGTTATAAATTCATATAAATTTTTCCTTTTTTTTTAGACATAACCTGGGATTCGAATCCGCACTATCGCCTTTTATGCATCCCCGATACATTTCGCATACATACTAATTCTTCCAAGTTGCTTCACGTTATGATCTTGCATTTGAAAGCCCTATTTGAATATGCATTTTGGCCAGCCGTCTTTGATGGCACGGTACGGACAAGGTACGGGACAGGAACGGGACAGATACGGGACAGGTACGGGGCAGGTATTGGACATGTACCGTCGAGGGTACTACGACACCGTCCACTGCCTTGATGACCAAGGCAAAAAAAGCATAGGGATGTTATAAATTTTTCAATTCTCCTACTTTTTAAGCATAACCTGGGATTCGAACCCGCACTATCGCCCTACATGCATTCCCCCATACACTTCGCATTCATACTCTTTCTTCCAAGTTGCTTCACGTTATGATCTTGCGTTTGAAAGCCCTATTTGAATATTGCGGCCAGCTGCATGTGGCAAGCTGTGTTTGATGGTACGGTACGGTACGGGACAGATACAGGATAGCGCCAGGCGTTACACAAACACACAAAACACACAAACAAACAAACAAACACCAAACGAGAGAGCTTGGAAGCTCAGGGCCCTGCGCTATGCTTTGTTGCCTAGCTCATCGTGCATGTTGTTAGAACTGATGGAAATGCTTTTTCCTTTGATTAGCTACATCATTGTATTGCAAAAACGTTTCAATGAGATACTGAAGTACAAGTAACGCCTTCTGCATAGCTATGGGACCGGCGCTGACTCTGCCGATCACGGGCGTTCTGGAGTCGACGGGATGTCTGTCCTGACGTTTCTTGGGACCGGCGCTGACTCTGCCGATCACGGGCGTTCTTCTTCTTCTTAATATTATACTGACGGCAACTAACATCCATTCTGATTGCATTTACTCGTCTCCCTACTTCGTATTTTTTTCAGAAGATCTCCCCATACAGCAGGGAGTCGTTTACATAATATGACTCCCTGCTGTATGGGGAGATTTTCTGATTGCATTCACTCGTCTCCCTACTTCGTATTTTTTTTCAGAAAATCTCCCCATACAGCTGGGAGTTGTTTACATAATATGACTCCCTGCTATAGATCTACATGACTGTATATACGTTATAATTACTCAATCTGATACGTTATAATTATTATGCTATCAGCCTACATCCGATCCCCGGGCTGGTCGACAGGCGGACCAGCCAGCCTGCTAGTGGGTTCTCGGCCTCGCACACAAATCCACACAAAATGTTACTGCACTGAATGCATTCCCCCGATACACTTCACATAATATATACTCATTCTCTTGATGGTACCGTACTCTTGATGGTACGGGACAGGTAGGGGATAGCGCCAGGCATGTCGATGGCACAAACAAACAAACATATAGTAGCCAGCTGTCTTTGCTGGTACGGTACAGTACGGTACAGATACGGGATAGCGCCAGGCGTGACACAAACAAACAAACAAACAAACAAACAAACAAACAAACAAACACCAAATTAAAGCTGTGTGGACCCTGGCTAGCGCCAGACGTTACTGAAGTAACGTCTTCTGCATAGCTACGGGAATTAAAGCTGTGTGGACCCTGGCTAGCGCCAGACGTTACTGAAGTAACGTCTTCTGCATAGCTACGGGAATTAAAGCTGTGTGGACCCTGGCTAGCGCCAGACTTTACTGAAGTAACGTTTTCTGCATAGCCACGGGAATAATTATTGTTCTCTTCACCAGGAAGGAAGGGGTACAGTTTTGCTGCAACCGTGGCCGCCACAACCGTAAATTCGGAAATCCCCTTTCCAGACTGTGTAATGACTGACATGAATGTATTGAAGGTACTCATGTTTTGCATTTCTAGAACATGCCATTCCTGAAACAATCATACCGAGTGGCCACGGATGAATTTTGGGAAATATCATTCCGGACGTTTAACAAGTCTGTATTAGAAAAAAGTGTCTAACCACGCCCGTGCCTCTTGAAGGATACAAAACTGTTGTCCACAACCCAATGGACGTCAATATGAACAAGCAGAACGTTTCATGTGCTACCACTAGCTTACTGGTTGGTCCACAGTTTGGTTCCGGCGGATTGGGAACTAGGTTTGCGGATGTATAACACATCATCATCAGCTTGCTCAAGTCCGAAGGCATTGGAAGCATTCCATTCCGCTGGGTCATCAAAGAGGGCCGTAATCTGTTCTCGATCACAGGGTCTGTGAGAATTCAGGAAAAAGTGCAGGGGTAACACCACGCAAAATTTCACAAATCTGACTAGAACCGGATTAGGACTCGAACCCAAATATGGACTTAGATGCAAACCGCACATAAAATGAAGCTTTTTTTGGCCATTATCCAAAAAGTGATAAAATGGATTTAGCGAGTTTCGCATTCTAGCCCCTCAAATACGGACAGACCTAGAATGGTACTATTCTGTCTTGGACATGATGGTAGAATACAGGCTTATTGACATGCAAAATCAAAACATACACAAGTTCCTCACATATTCGATCTGGTAACACCATCAAACTTCATCACATCTGTACTGTGTATGGATTGCCCTAGATTCACCCGGAAGAGCTTTCACAATGTCTTCTGTAACTTCCATACCGTCATTGTAGGAGACGATTCGAATCCAGCCTCTCCCAAGGATCTCCAATCGCATGACTGCAAAGATGACATCGTGCCTTTCTGGGACATCCGGTAGCAACTGAAAATCTGATCTAAGCGTGTTCCCTGTGATGACGCTGCACAGCACTGCACCTTCTGACAACCAATGCACAATGTAGAGGTCATGCCAGCCTTTCCGGGGGGCTGAGAACTTGCAGCCGACAACAGGGAGCAGAACAAAAGCATACATTGATACAAAATTCCAATGTGATACACCAACCAACAAACTTATAGCTCGGAAGGCTCTAAATTATGAAATAATGTAAGAAGAAAGGGGAAGGTGAGCGCAATCAAGACAAAAACAAGCAAAATATCACTGTTAACTTAACTAAGAACTTAAGCCACGACAAAATGATTGTGAAGGACGAAACACCACGGCACAGGACAGCCACGGCTCACTTCAAGAACGCGAAACAACGACCACCCAACGTGGGAAGGGGAAACAACGACCACCCAACTTGGGAGGCTCATGTTATTGGAGATACGCAAACTAGGGGATGTTACGATTACACAAAGTGAGACGACTGAGGAGCTGAGGTGCTGTTGTTGCACACTCAATGTGCAAGTAGTCGGACAGTTAATTTCGATATCGCCGCTACACAGTTCAAAGGCACTTTTTTGACGATTGGCGTGACACAGTGGTTGTACCTATCCAGTGGAACGGAGATCTGCACCATTGTGATGATAACTGATGCGGCACTAGCCTCTTGGACGTTGTCAGCAAGCTGCGTGCCCGTATTCTGCAAGACCGCTTGAGAGCTACATTAGTAGCTGAGGATGTCTTGCCCTACTTCCAGTGTGGCATGTCAAGCAATGGAGAAGACTTTGGAGCATGACTCCGATGAGTATGTCCTGTTTGTCGACCTAAACACGGCTTATGGCAGCGTCCCGCATCTAAATAAGGCGTATGGCAGCATCCCGTGTGCAGTGCTGCGGCAGCGGGTCCTCGAGAAGCTCAGCGTTCCGCCAGTAATGCTCTATATGCTCTTTAAAAATAATTTCTTTTTCTTTACGAAATAGTGGTTGCGACTTCGTAGATAATGTTTTTAGGTATGTGTTTGCTCCCACACTGGAGCTCGCGCTATTCCGCCGACTTGACTTGACACTTGACTGACTCACGACTGCCATCCAGAGCACACGAGAAGTCCATCGAACCTTCGACTCGCCAAACCTGCAAGAGAGCACCACTCCCTGCTCAAAACACAATTGTCGTCGGGGAGTTTATTCCCAGACAATAGAGAGGTTAAGATGCACGTTATTTCCGACGTGACGCGAAAGTTCAGCTCGTGTTATTTGCTCGCACGTCGAAAAATCAACGCGAGCGACCTGCTGCTCACGTCGAAATTTGGAGTTTTACGCCAAGTTCGACGTGAAATTGCGCGTCACGTCGGAAATAACGTGCATCTTAACCTCTCTATTAGGCTCTTCCGATTACTCTCACATAATCTCGCGTCCACCGCAAACAGAGGACTGATTATTCTGGTCTTGCTCCAAGGAGAGTCTCGGGAAAAGCAAGGAACAAAACAACAAGAATGCGTACCATGCATGCACTCGCAACCTGCGCAGTCCGCGCAGGAGCGGACAACATATGGCCACGCACAAAAATGCATCCTCTCCTGAGGATGGGAGAGAAGAAAAAACAAAACGAGAAGAAAGACGGGAGAAAAAGAAAGCAAATGTGAACAACATACACAGGAGAATAGAAACAAAACATGCAGGGCCAAAACAGTAAGAGACATAAGTAACTCTGGACAACGGGGAAAAGCCAAGGCAAAGGTGTGAAAAGAAAACAGATCGGGCCCACACATAGAGGGAGCCGCCATACTTTTAGGTGTGAGCCCCACCTTGCCCTGGTGCGAAGCCAAGGCAAGCCGGCTGCACTGCGAAGACCGCGGCAGCTGAACCGGGTGATCAGTCCCCTGGCAGCACAGGAGTTGTCAAGTTGTCCGGAAAACCATCACGCGACAAACCACCATGCAGCCGAGCTACGAAAACTCACACAGACAGAAAGACACACACAGAAAGAACCACGGACTGACGCAAACATCTCAGCCATCCCAGGGGCCAAATATCAGACAAGAAATAGCCACAAGAACAAATGGCAGAACAGCAACGTTGAACACGCCTACAGAAACAGGGGCAGTCTATCAACGAGGACTCCAGATAGCACACAAACAAATCGGTCACCAATACGCAAGCAAAACATAACATAGAAAAACCACAGGGCGCTACCCTGAATAACCACAGGCCTCTAACCTGAATAACCACAGGGCGCTACCCTGAATAACCACAGGCCTCTAACCTGAATTACCTTGGCTTCATGAGGAAGGCCCTGTCCATTCTCGACAGCAAGGCCAAGTATGCCGTGTATCGCGGCTTCGTCCGCCCAGTACTTGAGTACTGCCCGCTTTCATGGTTGGGTGCGTCCCAATCTACCCTGAACCAGCTGGACCGGGTACAGCACCGAGCCCTAAAGCTTATCGGCCCAGGGTCATACCTCCCAAGCTTCACTGTTCGGCGTCAAGTCGCAACACTCACATTCCTGTACAAGCTGCATTGGATCGACGGTCCCCCAATCCTGACCACCATGACACCACCGAGGGCAGTTGCAAACCAGCACCGGCGCTCCACTCGCCACCAGCAAAAGAACCAGCACCAGCACCAACTAGCACCGACACTGCCCGCCGGAGCTCGTAATAGTGCTCTCCGATCATTCCCCCATGCCACGATCCAAGACTGGAATCGTCTCCCATCTGCCCTGCTACGCAACCTTCCCACGCAGAAGGGAATGCAGGCATTCAAGGAAGGCGCCTACAAGTCGCTCCGCAGCCGAGACTGGCGTTCAGCCACAGATGCCCTCTGAACACTCCCTGAACACCCTCTCTGCTTGCACCATGGCTCCCCCCTTTTTATTTTTTTATTTTTTTTGAAACTCGGGTATTGAGCCAATAATAAAAGTAGAAAGGAAAAGGACATATGGAAACGAGTTAAGAGTAACTCTCCACCACTGTAACTAGATACTATATACAGGAGTACTGTAGGAGTTTAGATTTCGGCTTGTACAATTCGTTCTCGCAAAGCTTCCCCCTTCTTAACTTATCTTTGATATTTTTGACCCACCCAAGTTGGGTGGTGTGCTGCTTTGCTGCTTCGAATTGTAGTTAGACCGCTTTGTCAAATCGCCTACTGGTCTCGTCATCGTCCAGTGACAATCGACATTCTTTGTTCCGTAGGGACTGTAGCTTGTGCTCGTTTTCATTGCGCTTGCCTTCCCCTCTTTGGTCGTTCCATAACCTTGAACCTTCCAAGTTGGAAGGCTGTCGGTTAGCGCTATGGAGATGTGTTGAAGCTAGGTGTCAAGACGTCGAATGTCTCAGTACTCTGTCAGTTTTGTGCCTAGTTGTTGCACTTTCTGACTGTATATAGTATCTAGTTACAGTGGTGGAGAGTTACTCTTAACTCGTTTCCATATGTCCTTTTCCGTTCTAATTTAATTTTAATTTTTTTATTATTATTATTAGAAAGGAAAAGGACATAATATGGAAACGACTTAAGAGTAACTCTCCACCACTGTAACTAGATACTATATACAGTCAGAAAGTGCAACAACTAGGCACAAAACTGACAGAGTACTGAGACATTCGACGTCCTGACACCTAGCTTCAACACATCTCCGTAGCGCTAACCGACAGCCTTCCAACTTGGAAGGTTCAAGGTCATGGAAAGACCAAAGAGGGGAAGGCAAGCGCAACAAAAACGAGCACAAGCTACAGTCCCAACGGAACAAAGAATGTCGATTGTCACTGGACGATGACGAGACCAGTAGGCGATTTGACAAAGCGGTCTAACTACAATTCGAAGCAGCAAAGCAGCACACCACCCAACTTGGGTGGGTCAAAAATATCAAAGATAAGTTAAGAAGGGGGAAGTACTCTGTCAGTTTTGTGCCTAGTTGTTGCACTTTCTGACTGTATGTAGTATCTAGTTACAGTGGTGGAGAGTTACTCTTAACTCGTTTCCATATGTCATTTTCCTTTCTACTTTTATTATTGGCTCAATACCCGAGTTTCAAATTATTATTATTATTATTTTTTTATATATATATCTGCGCCTTGATCCAAGAGGGTGGTGGCGTTCCTGCGGATGCAGAAAACTGGGCCTTTGGCCGAGTCTCACGCGAACCGTGATTTTTTTTTTTATATATTTTTTCTTCCTCTTTCACATGTATCATCTTTCCGTTTTTCCTTCCTCTATATAAATGTACCCCCTCCCTCCCCTCCCCCTGTGCCTACTCTTCCCCAGTTTTTGGTGCTCTGAAGTGTTGCTGAAGCCGAGACCTCAGGTCGGCGGAGATGCTCCAGTTTCACCACCACAGTTGCGTCTGCAACCACCTCTACCATGCAGTATTCTGTTCTCGAGGTTCGTGGTTTCTCGTAAAAAACAAACAAAAAAACACAGGGCGCTACCCTGAATAACCACAGGGCGCTACCCTGAATAACCACAGGGCGCTACCCTGAATAACCACAGGGCGCTACCCTGAATAACCACAGGGCGCTACCCTGAATAACCACAGGGCGCTACCCTGAATAACCACAGGGCGCTACCCTGAATAACCACAGGGCTCTAACCGGAAAAAAACCCACAGGGATTGAACCTGAAAGCCCACAGGGATTGAACCTGAATATCACGCGGGAAACACATCCGCTCACAAAACAAACAAAAAAAACAAAAACAACGTCCTGGTCCCTACTGGGACGCACAAAGGCCAGCCAGCAAAACACGGAAACCGAACACCCGCAAGGCGAACCGATACAAATAAGCGCTGGACCCCTCCAGCCCACCAGGCAGACTGTGGCTCACCATGATCGGACGCCCCCTAGGTCAAATGCAGGGACCCACGTGCCGAAACACAAAGACAAAACAACACGCTCACAGAAAGATTGCCACCCGGACCGTCAACGAGACTCTAAGAAGCATGTCACACTACTGGGCGACAGCCATTCCACATGATCGTTGGGGCAGCCCGGCAGACCACTACAATGCTCGATACAAAACATGAATACCAGTAAAATGAAAAAGAAAGTGTTTGAAGCAGGAAACGACGAGTGTCACTGCATCGAGGAAATCGATGGGGACCACTACCAAACAAATCGATCGACACAGGATCGGAGCAGGCCAACGAAACAACGTGCACCGGTGCCCAACACAGGGCGAGTAACAATGAGAAAACAAGAGCCATGCTGGCGACCAAGCAACACGACAAGCATGCACGACAGAACGGACAATAGAAGGTGTGAAAACATAGTGCACACGACCACTCGAACAGCGAGAGGCTGGAGGGCGACAATGTACACTGGTTCAAAACACCGCACACACAAGCACTCGAACAGTGACACGCACAACGTGGGCCACAGTCATGTACAAACAGGAGCAAGGCTAGGTGCGAGCGAGAGTACTTGTACTTGTACACAAGAGAACAACACGGGACTTTGGTGCCACGGCTTACGAAACAATTTGAAACAATGGGCGCTTTCGATTGCACGTTTACACAATTCTGGAACTGTTTTTTTTTTTAATTCTGGAATGACCAGAATGAGCGTATTCCGGCCTTGTAAACGAACAACTGGAATTCACAACGCATTTTATTCATGTCATGTCACAAACAAAATTGATGAATCGTAAAAAGAGATCACGTACACCCTCGTGCACACGTGGACCCAGCATCGCGCACACTCCGACCAGGGAGGCTCTTCGCGCGATTGAGTCATGACCAGACCGGTGTCACGCCGACTGTGCAATTCTGGCGCCAGAATTAGAGAAATTCTGCCCTCTCTTCAGAATTGACGGATTCGACGGAATTGGATAAAATCAATTCTAACGACGGAATTTGTCACTTTTTGTGTATTCGAACTGTGCGTCAACAATAACTAATTCTAGAATTGACCGAAATGCGTGTAATTGAAAGCGCCCAATCACGAAAGAATTTGAAAATCCCAAATCGAATACTAGTAGAACTACATACAAGGTACAAAACAGCACACAGGGCAGACAAAGCATGCTCACCTGAGTAGGAGCTCCGAGGACAGGGTTGAGCAGACGGAGCAAAGCGGAGCCATGGCGAGGACTCGTCGAGGAGACAATATTTGAAGCCACGGCGAAAACGAAAACGATCTCAGGGTCGTGGGGAACGATGCCACTAGCTGGGCGCCAATTGTCGTCGGGGAGGTTTATTCCCAGACAATAGGCTCTTCCGATTACTCTCACATAATCTTGCGTCCACTACAAACAGAGGACTGATTATTCTAGTCTTACTCCAAGGAGAGTCTCGGGAAAGGCAAGGAACAAAACAACAAGAATGTGTACAATGCACGCACGCGCAACCTGCGCAGTCCGCGCAGTCGCGGATAACACAGTATTTCGGGGAATTCACCCCTCACCAGTTGAGCTTGAGTAGGCTGAGGAAGATTGTGCCTGAAGAGCACCACTTATATAGTGCTCTCCAGGCACAAACATCGCCAGGGATACAAACTTGCAGAGACGCTCCGTTTCCAGCGCGACAAACACCCCGTGAACACCAGATAGTAGCGTGAGTCAGTGTCGCTCCTGAACGGTGAGAACAGACGTAGAGGACCCTCCGTCATTCTCAACGCTGTCACCTCCAAACCAGCTAGTCGCAAGCCTGCGCTGGGCACAACAGGTGTTCACGAGGTGTTCGTCGCCCTGGGAACAGAGCGGCCTTGTAAGTTTGTATCCCTGGCGATGTTTGTGCCTGGAGAGCACTATATAAGTGGTGCTCTTCAGGCACAATCTTCCTCAGCCTACTCATGCTCAACTGATGAGGGGTGAATTCCCCAAAATACTGTGTATTGAGCAGGGAGTGTTGCTTTCTTTGGTTGCGAAGATTCTGGCATGAAAGTGTGAATGTGCGTGTGTGAAAGAGAGAGAGAAAGAAACAGGAGAGAGGGAGAAAGAAGGACAGAGACAGACAGAGAGAGAGAGAGAGAGAGTGTGTGTGTGTGTGTGTGTGTGTGTGTGTGTGTGTGCGCGCGCGCGCGCGCGCGAGAGAGAGAGAGAGAGAGAGAGAGAGAGAGAGAGAGAGAGAGAGAGAGAGAGAGAGAGAGAGAGAGACGGGCAGAGATTATCAAAACCGGTTGCTACAGAAACCTCTGGACTCTAAGATAAGGAATTGCTAAGGACGGATAAGACGCAAGAGGCTCACCTTTACGATGGAGTCAGTCACGCTGAACACAACTTTGCCAACCATGCCTGTTTCGGAGTTGACAACACATGTATGCGGGGACAAATCTGGTTTGAAGCGGCCGATCCCTATTGAGACGGTAGCATCCACCTCAGTATCTCTCTTAAAGTACATACACATTTTTAGATACACATGGATATGCATGTACACACATGCGTGCAAGATCATGCTCGCAGATACACACACGCACACACATACACTCACACACTCACACACACACACACACACACACACACACACACACACACACACACACACACACACACACGCACGCAAGCACATACACGCACACACGCACACACGCATGCACATATGCACACACTTGCTCATTAATATACGTACACACATGCGTGCACATACATGCATACAGACTTAAACAAACATGATGTTGCCTGATGATCGTAGTAATAGGTGAAACTCAGAGTTACGACAGCTTCCAATCTCTCTCTTGTGTACAAGGCTCTGCCCTATTGGTATTGAGCACTCTTCGGACAGTGGAGCAGCTACTTGATTACATACATGCTAAATAAAAATAGAAGAAATCACATGGAAACGAGTTATTCCATGTGAAAATTATTATAATTTCATAGTACACTCAGACCTCGCTTAAGTTAACTGCACACATCCGTTTTCGCCAAAAAATATCCGGATAGGCGAGGGAACCAGGTAATCAAACACACATACTGTATGTATGCATGACACATGCGGTAAATCGGCATTACAATTTTCGTCCGGACGGCGTGGGATGTGGATAAAAGAGGACAGGATACGTGAGGTCTGACCGTAAAGCCAATGTTGTAACTGAACGTTTTCCTTCCCCTCTCATCGTGGGTAAGTACAGAGAATAATGGGAAAATGTCAAATACAGCAACCTTTAAAGCATAGATCTAAACCTCACACTATACGTGTGAAATATGTTTAGTAGAACAGGTCAAAAACAGAGTGAATATGAAGCGATGACTAAAACATAATGAAAACATCAATGAGGAGCTATGTGTTCAGGAGGAAAACCCTTTGTCTCCTGAGTTGTTTGCCGCTAATCCCGTGAGAGTGTCAGGAATACTGCTCCTGCGAGGCTTTCATCCTCAACTTACTGACGTCAAAACCTGTGCCCAGGATTCAATTCCCAAAAAAACCCAGTGGTGTTAGGAAAAATTCTGCCTACCTCACTATCATGGATGCAGCAGGCTTGCACCATCATCGTACGTCCTCTCTTCAGCGGAAAAGCACTCACTGCCCAGCCAGTTTCTGGATTCCTATCTTCACCTGCAGGGAACAAGCGGAATGCAGGATGATTGCACAACTTCAGCACTGGGGATGCCAGTACAGTAAAACCTGTGTTTACCGGACCCTGTGTCAAGTGAAATCTTATATTGACAGGCAAAATTTTCTTCAAGCACTGGCGTGCAGCCATTAAAAATTCATCGCAACAAGCGGAATCCAGTCAAACGCCCCGGTCCGTACAACACTCGCACTGACATTTTGCTTGTACTCTCGTAAGTTTGATTGATATTATTATGGCATTTCAGGCCGCCTAAGATCATGCTTGCAAGATTGCATTACATTGATGTTGAGTCCCCCAGATTTCAGTGGTGAGTAGTGAATGATTGGTCAAACGTGTAAAACCAGACAATCCCAAATGTTCGGTGAGGTGAGTAATACGTTTCACTGACTGTTATTTTCCACTCCCCGTGGCATCATCTTGCCCAATCTACCATCTTGTTCAAGCAGCTCCTCGCTCTACACGAAGCGGTTCAGCTGGGTTCCACCATCCACACTGTATCCCTTGCTGCTGGTTTCTCTCCTTTCGCACTCCAAAGAGAACAAAGCGCTGAGCATCGATGGGAGGATGCTTGAAGAAACAGAGTGAACAAGAGCTCTACTGAACTCAAGAGCATATGCTCATGAGAATATAATCGTAGTAGATTAGAACTGAGCTCGACACAAGGAAGGAGAGTCGAATGGCGGCTGAAAGCAAGCTTTCTTTGACTTGCACAACTGTGCTTAAATTTGGGGACAAAGTCGCATGGCTCTAAACGGGTCTCCAACCTTGTGAGGACTCACGCTTCCACTGATCGTTTGCCTTGGTGCAGAAGCTTTCCAGGAAGTCAAATGTTAGTGCTGAAAGGACCTTACCGGGTACTCGCTCGCCAGAAACTCGACTCGTTTGCGCGGCGAGCTCGTTTACACAAACGAGCACCATATACGGTACAACGTATACATGACTCTCCATTCGTGCGAAAGTCACGCTTTTAGTCGTTTGGAAGTTTTTCACATAATTATAGCAAAGAATATAGCTACTTGCAATCTTTGCAAAAACTGTCTCTTCTTACAATGGCTGCTCAACGAAGGTGCTGCAAAGACATCTCGACAACAAATACCATTCTGAAGTGAACCCGGTCGAAAGCAGCAGCAACTCCACCGTGAGCGGTGAATGTTCGAGGCATTAAGTCAATTTGAAAAAAAGTAAAACAAAATTATAAGCATCTTTGCCACATCAGTGAAACTCGTTAACTCGCTCGTTAGTGCAACTGTTCGCTCGTTTCAACATTACCAGAGATCAAGACATTTGTAGAATGGATGCCCGAGGTACGGGCTTTTACATATACGTGCGGTGTGTTTTCAGTAAAAAATTCCCCGTTTTGCTGGTCATTAGTACCCTGGCGGCAGAACTCCGCAGCAGTCAAAGGGTTAAGAGTCGATGGCTGTAACGACCACACTATCACCGGACTTTGACAAATGTCCGATATCGCTCAAAGTTGGCTCCTGTTATCCCTGGACGGGCCTCATTCACTCGCTATGACAGTTTAGTCCAGAGATTTCTCGGACATTGTGCAAAATAAAAAATATCGACTAAAAATACTCACTGAAACAATGCACAAGAACAAGGGGTCCCTGCTGCTCACACCGTACCAACACAGCGCAGGCAGACCAACTGTGTTCGCGCGAAGAAAACCCAAGTTACCTAGTAATATTACAGAGCATCAGCAAGTCGAATTTTCGAGTCAAATTCTAGAATTGTCACGAACGGCACTCAACAAGTCGAATCTAGGGCTTTGCTCGACTGTAAAAGGCCCTCAAACAGAAAATTAGTTTCGAGTCCAGCTTGCGCTCTCCTTGTACATGAGGATCTTGCACAGAGCTGCAGTACTACAGTAAGATCGGGCGCCGAAGAACGCAGGGGCTCGAGCGCAGCCTAGGAAAGTTCTTAAAATTTTGATTCTAGCCAGACCGTTCTTATTCACACGCGCGCGGCGAGACGAGTGACGTCATGACGTTTGTCATGTACATGTACATGTAGTGCAATGTAGTACTTCTAAACTAGTGGGTGTCGTAAATGGGAATGACTGTACATGTAGCAGTTACTGTTTACACGTGTACATGACATGTACTCACCTCCCATACATGTACAATGTAGATCTACGTGTAAATTCGCAACTTCGTGTAAGTACATGTATGAAAATTTTAAAAGTGTTCTTAAATCTGATAATTCTAGCCTGGACTGTTCTTAAATTTTGCCGGTTTTCCAGCCTGGGTGTTCTTCGGCGAGGTGTTCTTCGGCGCCCGATCTTACTGTAGTATCTGATGGAGGGGTAATCTCCTGCACAGCGCTCCAAGACACGGAGCGGTTGTTCACGGCGCAGTCGTGACCCAGCCGAGGTAGCCACAAACAAATGCAGAGCCTTGCTAGAGCGAAATCAGCTGATGACAGTCTCTTCATCGAGATCAGCCAAAGAGATCTGATCGCCAACGGCCTGAACCGGGTCAAGCATCCGTCGCTTCGTGTCATCCGCAACAGCCGCGAGAAACAGCAGCAACTCCCGGAGTCTCCGTTCGGTCCAGGTGACCTTCAGCAAAGAGGAGAAGCGAGTCCAACAAATCGACTTTCTATGCTACCATAATCAAGAGTTCTGTACTCTTGCAACAACCACGGCCATTGCGCATCTCAAAATGTTTACTTCTCAGGCTCGAAAGGAACTCGAGTGGCGGAGTCGAAAATGCTGCTGCATGCTGAACCTCTTTTTCATTCGAATTTCGACTTTTTTTTCGTTTTGACACGCGCGTATTAAATCAAATTGAAAATTCGACTTGCTGATGCTCCGTGATATTAATAAGCCATCCATCTTTTGACTGGAGACTTGCGGAGTACCTCGAACGAATCGATCAAATAGACATGTTCAATGGTGGCCATTAAGTAGGCCATCTTCATGCGCCAGTACTAGCAGTAGCAGCGATTTTACGTCCTGAATTTTGGGGTAGATCACCACCATAGTCTGGTACAGCATGTGCCCAGGCGCCAGCACGGCCACACTTAGTTTTTTCTTTGTTTCTCGTCGGCAAATTATAACAAAAGGTATGCGGGCGGGCGTAAAAGACAAAAGCCAAGAAAAAACAAGAACAGTCTCTTCTGAAAACTGTATACATTTTGTATTCTGTGTGATTCATACAAGACACTGGGTATACAGTAGTACTAGTACTACTTGTACAATTGTAGTCTCACAGCATATGATTGTACTGTATTATCACACCAGCCCACGAATACTTCCAAGTACACGTAGTGCTAGTAGGCAAAGTGCAACAATAATGTGTGTATAAAAATTAATTTGATGTCGAAATGACGAAGAGATCATACATAATCTGCTGTTGCATCAACAAACACTTTCCCACTCGTCTTTTCTATTTCGTTACTTCAACGTTCTTATGCCCACTTCGTTATTAATACTTTTGATGGCACTAGTCAAACTCTTGTCTCCACGCCTGTCATCATTTCCTCGCCATGTGTCCATTGTTTAGACTTTCTGCTCGCGTAAGATCTCCACGACGTCGTTCCGCGATGCCAGTTGCCACGAAACTTGTCCGCCGGACTAGCGGTATTCCTGGGACCCACAATGCTCAGGCAGTGAAAGACTGAAAGCTTCGTTGCGGCAGCCTTCATCGCAGAGAACGCACGGAGAGCACTCCTTTGCTGCTGTGGTGCAAAAGCTTATGATTTTTGATTGGCACATCTAGCTGCTGCATTGTGTCCAGCGCGCATACATGTACAATCATGTACAACTACATGTACATGTATGAACTTTTTTCTTCTTCCGAGATTTCTGAAAACCTACGTGCGCAGTGACGAGAAATATTGAAAAAACAAAGTGTGGCCTAAGTGGTCTTGAATGAAATTATACGCTAACGATCGTTTGCGGAAAATAATCAAAATTTTAAACTCTCCAACGGCCATGCACTAGCCGCCCAGTACACGAGCACTAGGTTTCTGTGCGATCTTGTACGACTGTTGCAGGAAACATTATATGCAGAGGGGACAGGGGGGGGGGAGGAGGGGGGATGTTACTACCACATTTTCGTGTATTTTGGACATTTTGTGGAAATAGTTCCGTCACATGCCTTATACATGGCCTCTCCCCATGAAAATGTATGTGATTCGGAGCCGTGGACTTTCCACAGATACGGGCAGTGCCCGGTCCCTAGGCATTTCCCAAATCGGCCCTATTTTTTTGCCTAATCGGCTTTTCAATCGGCTAAGAAAATGTCCAAATTCGGCCATATTATGAGCCCCAAAGTCAGAATTCGGCTCACAGCAGTACTTAAAGTCACGACTCGCAATATATAATGTACATGTATCTGCACGCTGTAGAGACACTAAAACATAGATTTTCTGCGAATTCAGTGCGAAATTTGTAAATTTGGCGCAACTATCGGCAATTTCTTCACAGCCATTGATTTCGGCGTCTTGTCCTGCTGGCCGATTTCGGAATTGCCTAAAGTCGCAGTCACCTCTAACAGTATAATGGTGACAGAGAGTATAGTTGCATGCTGTAGAGGCACCAAAACATCAATTTTCGGCGAATTCAGTGCAAAGATTGCATATTTGGCGAAATGATCGGCGATTTCTTCAAAACCCTCGTTTTCGGCGAATTTTTCGGCCGGCCGATTTGGGAAATGCCCGGTCCCGGACCGCCCGGATAAACGAGGTATGAGTGTGTAATGTAGTTCAGCAAAAGCTTGATTGTCAGCATGATGACGTGTGATCAAAGTTCCAGCTAGAAGATTCATTCAAAGATTTGTTTGTTTGTGCAGTTCGGCTATATCCTGCTGCACAGGTGGACAGGTACTCAAAACTCGTACCATGTCTCCACTTGTCCTTTTACTTTTTGCATAAAACAGTTAATATTGGTTCGACATATGAGCTTGAAACGAGAGAGCTTGGAAGCTCAGGGCCCTACGCTATGCTTTTTTGACTTGATTACCTAGGCAAAAAA